TTAATCATCATGTTTAAAACAAAGAAGCATAAAATAAGTGTAGAGAAAGATAAAAAAATGAAGATTTATTAAAGATTTTGAAAAATCTATTATGAATTATATTAAAATATGTTTGCTAAAGTACTGCAGTTCAAGCTTTTCCCCTATATAATTTCACAATCTCCGCTTAAAAGCGTCTGATAATTTTTAAAATCCCTATTATACATTATACACACACAATACGCATATTTGCTTTTATTTAAAATACAGGAACATCCGAAAATGCATTATTTATTTTTGAACAACATATGGCGTAATATGTAAAATAATACATGTAAATATGAGCGGGCGAGGAGGGTCAAGAGAAGATCATGCTTTTCGGGATTTCTATCGTCTCCGAATCGAGGATAGAAATCCGTCGCTGTGCGGCGCCGCGGCGCACAGTGGGGCGAATCTATCAAAAACCGGATATTGGACAAAAAAATGAAAAACGTATAATTCAAATTTTGACGAAATTTTATGTTAATATATATCCTAAACTATAAATAAATGTGCTTATAATTGATTTTATCCCTTGTTCTTTCCTCAAAATGATCTGATAAAGTATGACATTTTCGTGAATACTGAAATTCTAGTAATTCGATAGGTTACTTTCTAAAGACTCTGCCGAAAGCCTAACTGCGAATATGAGTTAAATGCCTATTAGAACTTATTTATTAGGGTTCAAAAAACATATTTATTTTAGTTTTATGTCATTCGAGTACTATTATATATTAATAAATATACACGACATATTCGACTATTAAAAAGTTCTTACTTCAATATTTAAACAGGAAGAAAGTTTGTGGATTAGAATGGATTAAGGTTTGCTCCGCGCCATTTGATAGGGCAATATGTCTAGTTTTTGGACATATAAGGTTGTTTATCCGTATACGTCCGGCGTTTATGAGAAAATTGACGTCGAAGTTCACTCGACATGGTCGAACGTCGTCCACGAATAGCTCAGCGGACGCCGTTTGATCATGTCGAGTGAATATGGATGTCTATTTTCTCATAAAAAAAAGACGAAGGGGGATATATAATTTGTTTAAATATTGCTATTTTGTAATGATTAATTACATCCATATTTTATAACAATTAATTATGTCAATTAATATAATAGCGATGAGTCGAGGCTCTATTGGAAATCCAATCGTAGGGAAAGCGGGCTAATTAAGAGCCGTTTGCTGTTGACAATGAGAAAGTTTTGTTAAAAATATTATTAAAAATGTTGTTCTCCTCGAGGAGGGTGGGGAGGGGAGAGGAGGGTGGGGAGGGGAGGGGGAAGAAATAAAAACAGCGGAGATAAGAACTTTTCGTTAGTCTTTCTCGATCAGTAGTCGATTAAAGACTTTTTGATTTTGAAAGTTTTGCTTTACACAATTCACTTTGCATCCTTTTCAGGATACAGTAAAAAATATATAGAATATATAAAATATATAGAAGATTACACTTTAACACGCTCGTAAAATGGGAAATTTCCGAACGAATCGTCAACTTTTTAATTGTATGCGTGCAAATAATCTGGATTTATCAAATTATCAGGCTTTAATAAGCCACATAACATCATGTATTAATACTGAATTATCCAAAGTTGCGTTGGAAGCATTGAAAAGAAAAATCATGATTTTCACAAAGAATTTGAAGTCAAAATGGGTAGCTAGCTCGTACAGTTACAACACATTTATTACAAAGCAAGAAAGTTGGTTAAATTGTGAATTTTCTTTTCCGAACGAAGTACTGAATTTAATTCCTACTTCTTCACGTACGCGTATGTCTCTTAATAGATCAAAGAGTTTCGTAGAATGTTCCGAACGACATAAAAGAAAAAGAACTGAGGAAGTACGGAATAATCCGGATATGACTGATTTTATTGTTCGGAAAAAGTTAAAATCCGATGACGCGCTATTTATATATAATTTTATCCAGAGATATCCCGAACATGTCAAAAAGATTAGACAATTCTGTGAAGAAATTGAAAATGGAACAGATTTGATTGATAGGGATACTGCATTAAGTACTTATATTTCTGCAAGATTAACACGCTATCAATATAATATTATTCGTGACGTCACCAAATTTAGATTTAGAGCACTACCTAGTTATTATCAAATTCAATTATCAAAAAAAGATTGTTTTCCACAGCAAGAAACGATAGAAATTTCTGAAATAGGTGTTAAAGTCTTTCTACAAAGTCTTTTGGATCATACTGCTTTTAGATTCATTAAACTGCTACGTCCTCGTTTAAGTGCATCTGCAAATTTAACGATGATATCTAAATAGAGATGCGATGGTGCTTCCGATCAATCGCGTTACAAGTTGAATTTTGATCATCCCTTATACGATGATTCTAGTATTTTTATATGCAGTTTTGTACCAATAAAAATTTATTCTAATGAAAATGGCGAAGTATTGTGGACAAACGATACCCCTTCCTTAACTCGTTTCTGTAGACCGATCGAATTCAAATTCGTGAAGGAATAAGAAACTGAAGTTAAAGATATTACTGAGAGAATTAAGGATGAAATATCTTCTTTGATATCAATTGTTTCCGAAGAAGGTATTTCGATACAGCATACGCTTTTATTTACTATGATCGACAATAAAATCTGTAACATAATGACAAATACTAAATCATCAATGAAATGTTATATTTGTGGCGCTTCTCTAAGTGAAATGAACAATTTAAATTTAATGAAACAAAAAATTGTGAAAGATGAATACTTTTCGTTCGGACTTTCTTCATTACATTGCTGGATTCGCTGTTTCGAATGTTTATTACATATTTCGTATAAAATTATAATATCAAATGTTGGTCAGCGAAGAATGAGAGTCATAAACGAGAAGTCGAGCAAAGAAAAAGAGAGATACAGACTGCCTTCAGAACAAAAGCAGGTCTCTTGATAGACTTCGTGAAACAAGGAAAAGGTACATCCAATGATGGCAACACGGCCAGAAAATTTTTTGCTAATCCAGAATTATCAGCTGCCATTACTGGTTTAGATAAGAATTTAATAACTAGATTTGGAGTTTTGTTGCAAGTAATCGCTAGCGGTAATAGGATTAACGTGTTGAAATTCGAATCCTATGCTTTTAGAACTGCCGAATTATTTGTATCATTATATCCATGGTACTACGTGCCAGTCTCAGTTCACAAATTATTGATTCATGGCAGTGATATTATAAAAAATGCTATCGTACCAATAGGATAATTATCTGAAGATGCTCTGGAAGCAAACTATAAATATTTTAAAAAATATAGAGAAAATCATTCGCGAAAAATGTCGCGAATACAAAATAATGAAGATATTTTTAATAATTTGATAATTGCTTCAGATCCAATAATATCTAATTTGCGAAAAATTATGGGACATAAAAAGAAAAAATTAACTGAAGATGCAAAATGTTTATTATATTTCAGCGATAATGATGTAGATGATGATTAAGTTCAAGAAAAAGATGTGAGAAGCAAGAAAAACAGTTCCTTTTCTATTATAAAACTCACAACTAAAACATCAGGGTACGGAGCAGTAAGGAAATATGCGATAATAATTATTTATATTAATTTAATGAAGCACTAAAAAAGTATAAAATAAAAAATTTTTTTAAAATAGAACCGACTTAAAAAAAAACTAAAAAGTTTTAAAAAATAAATAAAAATATCTATGCATTTTATAAAAAATTGTTAATTAAATAATTTTGATTTTATACACTAAATGTATAATAATCGTACATTATTTATGTCAAGTTTCAAGTCATTTCATTGAAAAATGTAGAAGTTATAAGCAAATGACCGAAAAATGAGGTGTTCGCCCCACTGTGCGGCGCCTCGGCGCCGACGCTATCGCGCAAACGCGGCAAACGAAGCTATTCGGATTCGGAAGTGATATCCAGACGTTCGGGAGGTAGTGAATTAGTGAACATGGCGCACGAAGACTTGGAAGATGCATTTGTCAGTTTCCGTGATCTACTGTACGAAGATGAATTTTCTTCAATTTCTTTCTCCGAAAACGGCTTAAGCCCCTTGCACAATGCCAAGCAACAGGCAATAGGAACAGGAGATAGAAATCGGAAATCATGTATAAATGTAGAAAGAGTGACACAGACAATAGACGTCAATAGACACAGAGTTTCCGTCACGTTGGAAATTCTGTGCCTGTTGCCAACCAATCATAGCATTCGAATTTTTTAGGTTGTAATTAACGATTTTTTGGTTATTTCCTGTTCCTATTGCCTGTTGCCTGGCATTGTGCAAGGGGCTTTACCTTCGAACATTCGCTCTGGCCCGTCCACACACATACGAATGGCAAATGCTCGGATCTGATCTACGACTCGCGGACCGATCTGAGCGCATTCGGCGAACGGTCTTGAACGGTCTGGCCCAGTCTTCTGTGCCAGTCTGGCCGACTGGGCCCTGGGCCTGTTCGGCGCGGTTCGGATCTCGGATCTCGGATTGCCTCGGATCATCGTCCACACCAGTACGTTCGTTCGTGTTCGGCTTGGCTCGGATCCGAGCGTGCTCAGATGTGGACGCGCCATTACTCGAGACTCGAGAGAGCTCTGATGGGAATCACGCACACGAAGAGAAAGCATGTGTGCCACGTACGTGCGTGTGCTCGGAACGCGCTCGGCGAGGCTCGGCCAGCTTCGGAATAGTAAACGAGGACGGCGACAAATGTTCCGTCTCTTTCTCGCGCGCTCGATCCTACCCGTGCGCGAAAGAGACGGAGCAATGAGCATTACGTGACTCGTCTACCATTCCGAAGCTGACCGAGGCTCGATGGCGGCCCGCCGAGCGTCGCCGAGCGTTCCGTGCGCACACGTACGCGCTTCCTCTTCGCGACTCGCGCGCTCTTTGTGTGTGCTGGAACGAACTGTTCGGAACGCGGCGAAGAAGGAGCAGGTGGAAGAGGCGAGGAGACGAGACCGAGCGCGCGCGCGTGGCTTGGCGCGAGGCGAGGCGAGACGAGGCGAGAACAGCCGAAATGGAGGAGAGCCAAACATCGGAAAGTGTCGCCGTGCTACCGGACATGTCCGAACCGTTGACGAGCGAGACCGAGGAGGCGGCCGCGCTGACGAGCGAGCACGAGGCACATCCCGTCGCGGTCACGGCGAGCGTCACTACGGTGTCGGGCGTGCCGGGCGTTCCTGGGGTCGGCGTGCCGGTCTCTCTTCCCGTCGGCTCCATCATCGGCGTAGCGAACTCGACCAATGGCACGACCTTCAACGTCATCACCTCGGATCAGCTGCAGGTGCGTCCGTGGGCCAGCGGTCGTGAGCGGTCGCCGGCACGCTTTCTCGAGGAATCGCGGTGAATCTCGTCGGCGGACGCGACACTTTTTTTTTTCCCCCCGCCTGCTATCGTTCCCGATGACGGTGGCAACAGGAAGCGTTGCTTGTACGGCGTGCCGTCCCGTCGATGATGTCCCTCGTTCAATTTGTCGTGGGAAGCTTAGCACGAGTTTTAACCTTTTAAAAAAGTTTACAGGCTCAACATATTAGTTTTCATTCTTTAACGCGAATTTTGTGCCAAGATTGAGATTGTATACTTGGATTATTAATTCTTGTTATTTATGTCATTTAAGATTGGACAGAGACACTATACAAAAGTGTTTTGGCTCAGTCCTTTTAATCTTACACAATATAAATAATAACAGCAGTTGAAATAAAACATTGGCGCAGAATTTACTTGTCTTTGTATTTTGATAACATTGATTTCAGAAAGCAAAGTCTAGTTTATTTAGCTGTAAAGCTTCTTTTAATTAATATAATGTGCATCTAAAAATTTGTATCTTATTGCAAAACATCTGTTTAGGAGTAAAATAAAAAGAACACGCTGGTTTTCAATTGTACATACTTAAGATATATTTTTCATTTACAGCTGCCAGGTTCGGGGCAGTTCAAGCAGATGCTATGCGTCGACAACGGGTTCATTTGCGAACCGCGTCACGACAAGGACTCGGATCCTCTGCGTTGGAATGGTGAGCTGAAGGCGACTCACATAGTCATTCAGAACAGCACGGATGAAACGGAATCTGAGCAGATACATGTGTCGACGCCCAGCTCTCAGCCGATATACAGCTGGTCGGATTCGGCGAATCTGGCGGTGCTACCTATCAGATGTAAGAACACAAATGCGGAGTTGCACAAGAGTAGATTCGGTTCCGGCGGTAGAGGACGGTGTATCAAGCTCGGCTCGGATTGGTACACGCCTAGCGAGTTCGAGGCTCTCTGCGGCAGAGCGTCCAGCAAAGATTGGAAACGTAGCATTCGATTTGGTGGAAGAAGTCTGCAGACTCTTATCGACGAACAGATCTTGAAACCTCACGCTACCTCTTGTACCTGTGCCGCGTGCTGCGATGACGACAGCGCGGTAAGCAGATCAGTAGATTACTCGCGAGCCTAATATTCGTGTTCCGCATGTTCCAATATATGAAATGTATGTATGCTCGATATATTTGAGTTTAAATTATATAATATTGATCTATTCAGACGGGACCAGTTCGCCTCTTCACTCCGTACAAACGTCGAAAAAGACCCAAGGATTCATCCGATGGAGAAACTCCCTCGCGCAAACACAAGATCGAGACTTCGCGTGACGGCAGCAATAACGATGAGAGCGGCGACGAGGTTGTTGTGCCTGACAAAGAGGTCTGGCCGCAGTTCGTTTCTGCTGATGGACTGGTCGTGCAGCAATCTCAGGAACAGGACACAGTTGTGCAGAATGCACAAACGGAAAACGGTCAAGGCGATGACGTCTTTAAGAAACTGGACGAAATGTCGAGCAAAATGATGAAGTTGGCTTACGAATTTAGACGTATCTTGGAAGAAGCGAAGGAGTTGAACAGGCAGCAGAGAAGGGAGCAGGCGTTGGTCGCGCAACTCGGCGGACGGGCGGATGTAATCGAGACCGTTGGATTACAACCGGCGTCTGATTCGCATAACAAAAAGGTAAAAAATATATCTTTGCGGACAAAATATTTTTCGCTTGTGTTCTATCTTCAACGTTCCATTTTTTAATATTATTATAACCGGCTTTTCTCATAAATAATTCGAAAACTTCAAACTTTATAAATATAAATAAAATTAGACAATTCAAACCAACAATTTAGTTCACATTTAATGCACGTTTCGGTGCCGAAGTAGATTTGATAAAGTTTCTAGTCTTCGTTTGTACACAAGTGTTTAACTAAGATTGGAAAATTACAACTTTCAACTGATATCATTTCAAGCAGAAACTCGGCATCATTATGCATAAACTGCATGCTTTGTAGAGTTATTAGTTACTTGGAATCTACTTTAAAGCATAAATATAAATATAATAATTACAATAAAAAAATATAAGTATAATAAGCACAAAAATATGTACAATAAATTTCAGTGTGCCAACTGTAATCGAGAAGCGTTCGCAGAGTGCTCTTTATGCAGACGCACGCCGTATTGCTCGACGTTTTGTCAGCGTAAAGACTGGGGAAGCCACCAGATAGAATGTGTGAGGGGTGCAGCTGAGACTGTGATGCTCATAGTCGAAAGCGGCAACGGTGAGAGCGCTCTCCCGACGACCACGACGGACCAATAGCTAGTGTTTCTCACGCCAATTCACCAAAGGAATGCGGAAAACGAGAAATCTGATAGGAAAACAATGAAATTCAAGAAAGAGACGTAGATTCGAAGCGTTCACGTTACACGAGAATAATAAAATGTATATATATGTACGGTAGAAAATATTTTATGTGTATATGTTATACATATACGATATGCACGGACGGGCGCGCGCACAGACATATACGTACGTACGTTTATATGTATATATGTATGCATGTATATATATATTAATGATTATCAGGCTCTGAGATATGCAATTGACGAAGGGAGACAAGAAGAATCAACGAGAACCGTTTGATATCTGTGCATAAACATTTAAATATACTATGCTAAATTTATATTAATATCAAATTTGTATTATATTTATTGACTATAACAATTTATTTGAAATTAAATGCCTTGGTTCAAACGTGGCCCTCTCTAGCAATCGAAAATAAAGGAAAAACAAGATATTAATCACTCGCATAATTTGAAGCAAGATAAAATATCATATATACGGTTAAGGTACAATGGACAGTGTGCATAAGTTTACCAACTAATATTACAGGACTTATGTCCTCAGAGTCTTTGTAAACGCTAGGGTGCTACTGTGAGATGTGGTACATATCTAATATCACGCCATCATTGTGTAAAACGTCATCTTGTTTTGTTTATGCACTAGATTTTTGTTATATTTTGCTTGAAGCGAGTATTTATTTCACTATCATTGTATATCGTGTTAGTGAGTAGCACTGCTTTAATGAACTGGATTACAAAGATAAGGCTTTTGTTATTATCGTAAGAATTCTTATATTATTATTTCTAGATTTATTCGTTTGACACCATATATTGACTCTACATATGCATATTTTATCTTTTAAATATGCAATTAATAACATTGTTTTTTTTTTTTTTTATTTATCTTTTGATTGCAAAAGTGGTGAACTATTGAAAAGAAGCTTTTTCGCGATTTATAAAGCAGATAAATTATACAAAATTATGTTCTTTAATTATATTGTAATAAAATTCTAATTTAAATAGTCCATAATTATATGTAATGCTAAAAATCGAGAAACTGCGATAAATGATAATCTTTAACAGTTCTTTGACGATTATCAATATATAAATATAAAACATTCTGTTGAGTAAAATTATTTAAAATAATTTAAATTATCGAAAAAGTTATAAAACATAAAATCATTTTTATTTTTATTTTTTAATAAGACGATCGTATTCTTATACTTATTTTAATAGCTATCTTTCTCTCTGTCAAGATGATTTTGATTATGCAAAGTTAAGTTAAAAGAAGCATAAATATATTAACTTTCCAATTTTCGAAGTTATTTTTTCGGAAATTATCTGAAAAATTTTCTTTACTTGTTTTTTCATATAAAGAATCATTTTCCTCCGTTACTGTCAGATTAGAAAACTGTACATACATGAAAACGTGTGTACGTGTGTATATTTATGTGCACGCACGCGTAATATAACGTAATCCACAGCTTGCTAAGTAAGCTCGTAACAACTCGATGTTTTTCGAAAAAAAAGTATCAAGATGTAATAACGAAACAGTATGTGTATGTATGCGTGTGTATAGTTATCTTAGAAATATTCAGTTCTAAATTACTTATTTAGAAATGTATACGGAGCGCAATATATACGAAGTTCTGAATGATTTACTTTCAATGAACAAGCAAGCGACAAATGACCAATGGTGACAATCACCACAATTCTATAAGATAAATTTGTAACTTAGACGTTACATTTCGTATATATCCAGGAATATGTCATTCAGTGCACATTGTGGGCCGATATTTCACAGTCTCCGATTAACTTGATCCTCCGATTAAACTCACTCTTCGTCTCTTTCTAGGGGAACAGTTAGAAAGAGATGCAGAGTGAGTTTAATCGGAGACTGTGAAATCGGCTCAGTCATCTTGCTTTTCTAAACATTCATGTGAAATATTATTTGAGCCTGTTTTATTTATAAAACTCCTACACCTATATATAACATTTTTTACTCATAGTACAAATATATTAATAAAGATATCAAAAAAATATTTATTGCAATTAGATACGCGGTAAATAGGAGAACTGCAATGCGTACAAAGTCTGTATTATATGTAACGTGCAAAAATCCATTAGACTGCACGCGTATTGAGATTTGTTTAAATGAAAAAAAGAAAAAATAGCTTATAGTCTTTATTACTTTGTACAAGAATTTTCATAATGGCAAGATGTATTATTTGTATATAAACATTTTATGTGTCTCTTTTAAAAGCGATATTCGAAAAATGATATTTAAATGTTAAGAAACTTTATCTTAATGAAGTGAGGATGATTTAAATGTAACATCTATCACTTTTCTAAAATTCTTTCTTCAAAAAGAAAAATTGCTTTAATGCGAAGAAATTATGCACTTTACTTTTAATATAAAGGCAGAATAAAAAGATTAATTTTTTTTCTACTGCACGAATGCGTTTCTACTGCATGAACTTGAAACAACAGTATAACTTGACATGTGATACTATAAATAAAAATATGTACAATTTTCCTTTTTGAACGTGTGAAAATTTTTGTAATTTCTTGTTTAAGCGTATGTATAATGTAGCACTAGTATCTTTCTAATGTCGCGTAGCTATACGACCGTGGCTTTACCTATACTGTGTAATTAATTGTACGAATAAACTAATGGCAGTAAGTAGGATAAAGCAATTAAGATATACCTATAAAAAAAATTTAATTACACCAATCTTATATATTCCATACAGATTTTTATACTGTATACAAGCCATTAGAAAATAGTTATTTGTGTAACAAGTGCCGTAAGATGAAAATTCCCGAGTGCGGTTACCGCACCCGGGAATTTTCATCGTTACGCACGGCTTACACACCCTATTTTATGTTGCAAGTGCCTGGAAAGTGGTCTATCACGCACGCGTAGCGTGCGTAATAGGGCACTTTCCATGCACGTGTTGCATAAATTCTTTTATGAATACAATCAATAATTTCCATAATGCCTCAACCTATACAGTAAAGCGGAACCTGTTCTATTTGAAATGCTGAGATAACCACTGCCAGGGGAAAAATCAATCGTTTGTGACATTCCTATGACGGTTTGAAATGTCGGGAAGTTCGAGAACACGGTAAACGATGGTAGATGCAACATCCTAAATGCATTGTGTTTGTCAACCGATGCCGCACTCAGTATCTCGGAAGTTGGATTAAATTTCAGGCTCGTAACACTAGTCACGAGATTCATCATTATCTTTACAGGCGCGGGGATTTGATCCTCCAGTACAGTTTTCATGTTGTACAGATTAACCACACCCTGCGCGCTGCCTGTAGCCACAAATTGACCGCTCGGGGACACGGCGAGCGATGCGCAAGATAAGCATCCGTCATCTATGGCACGATTGATGCACGTGCGAGTATTCAGATCCCATATATACATCTCGTTGCCGTCTGCGGTTTGAAGAAAAAAGATATGCCATACCAATCTAGAAATCTCATCTCGTGTACACAGAAGATCGTACAAGCCTACTCACCACCGTGCGTGATAAGCGTTTTACTGTCTGGAGTAAACGCTAATACCCTACATTTTGAATTCATCTTGAGTGTGCAGACTAGTTCTTTAGTAAAACTGTGTAACAAATATATCTCGCCCAATCTTCCGCACAAGGCTATTAATTTGCCATCAGGGGATACTTCGTAACGCTGGAAATACCAAAATATAGCCTTCAATCTACAAAAGTTCTTTCTGATATGACAGATCGGTGATTCGACGAACCTTCATGTTTGTAATCTTATGTGGCAGAGGTAATTTATACGTCTTGTCGTTCATCAAATCATAAGTATAACAATACGGATAATATTGGGAGCCAAGCAAAATTTCTGTTCCCTCCTTCATGAATGTCGCTTTGCTAATTGGATATTTTTCAAATTGCATGCTATGCAATTTTTCATTTGTATGTCCATCCACCTGTAAAACAGAAACAATTTATTATTAATAATAATCGA